TCAGCAGGACTTCAGATGGGGAAACTTCCAATTTGTTGATTTCAATGAGTTGAGGCTTCAAAGGGACAGTGAACTGATCACTGCTAACAACCAAGCAATCTATTCAGACTCTGCATCTCTTGTGTGCATCAGTCAATTTAACTGGCTAGGGTGCAGTCTCTGACAGTAATAGCCAGCTGGTTCAGCACAGCTCATAACTACCCTAGCATATCATCCAACCCATTAAAACTGTGGAAATGTACAAAAATCCCTTAGTGACACAGTCCCTAGAATACTCTAATGTCAAACTCTGCCTACAGCTCTTTGGAAAATTGCTAGCTGACACCCACCAGAAGGCAACTCTTAGAGGAGTTTTGAGTATACAGTATATTTCAATACCCAGTAGCTTCCTCCCAGACACTATTTCTTAGTACAGAAATAGCTCAGAAACCTAGAAAACATCACTACACTAGAATTTAGACTGGGGTCTAAACCCCTGGTTTCATACAGGTTCACACTCACTGTGAAATTCAATCTAAGTTCTAATGGAGATACCTTAACTTTTCTTGTTGACCTGATAATTATTGGTTCAGGGTGCTGTTTAATTAATTGGTCAGCTTGGTTGGTTTCACAGCTTGAGCCTCTGCTAAAGCACATACATAAACTGTTAAATAATCAAGTAAATAACTTTCCAATATACAATGAGCAAGAAAACCAGAATTCAGAACAAAAAAATGTGACGACAAAGAACAGATTGTGATTTTACTTCTCATAGGTGGGAGACTGGAGTAAAGAGTTATGAAGGTGGGGCTGAAGACAGAAATTTCCTTGTTTCCTACAGAGGAGTGGAACAGACACCCAGCATGAAACAAAAGCTCCACCACCACACTGGTCACAGTACTATATACTGCAGAATTCTAAAATGAATATAATTAATACCATATAGAAAGTATATTTCATAAAACACAGCATTAGGCTGTATAAGTTTTATTTGTAAATTATTATATATGTGCCTACATCCAACAAGGTAACCCAAATACATGCGGCCAAGAAAAACTGAGTAAGAACAGGAAAGTAACACAGCTGTAACAAATGATACAGGGAATGTCTTGGTGAGAATTCCAGTTCCAGCAGCTGGAGCAGGTTATAACTCTATCAGAGTGTAATCCTGAGCTTCAGCTCTCAGTCTGTTAAGTGTCTGAGAAATTTTACAGCTCTATCTCATTTGGGCAGCATGCTATTTCTGCTTCCGCCCTCCCCGTGACTGCGTGGGCACTCCCTCTCACAAACAGCAACAGGGAAGGCAGCCCACTGCTCTGGTCTTCAAGTTATCTCCAGAAATGAGAAAAGAGTTACACTATTTTTACCCAATTTTCAGTCAGAATTCCTGCAGTTGCATTGCTTAGAGCATCTACCTCTTCTGATGGTACACACATATGCCTTTGAACAGTAGTGAAAACACACTGCTTGTTCAGTTTAAACTCTTGTTTTTCATGCAAGAGCAGCCCTGAAGTAACAGCTTCCAAAGCAGAAGCTGAACTGTCTCTTTAAATAAAGCTTCTGATTATCTCAAGAGAACATTCCTAAAAGGTACATAGAGCCCATAAAAGAGGGTTTGGATTATTTTCGTATCTTGAGAGAACTTCAGCCTCTCAGTGATGCAGGATTAAACTTGACATGTTACACGAGTAGAGATCCCAAACCAGTGCAATAATTTGTTCTTGGGAAGTCACAGCCCTACACTTCAAAAGTCAAGGCGCACACACGAGGTGCACTTATTCACCAGAAGCTTTATAGTCACAACCTTCTGATAGTATTTAAAATATAAAACTAGGCTCCTACTCTATATATTACCAGTAATATACACAACCAACTAAATGAAAAGACTGAAAGCTCTAGAAAACAGTATTAAACTTACATGAACCAAATAAAAAATGGCTTGCAACAGTAGCAAGCTGTTAGGCTCTCCCATACTTATCTAAGGAAGTGTCTTGAAAATGCCCTGAAGAGGTTGTCTTTAAGAAAGTACTTCAAGGTGAACTTTAAGATAGACCAATTAAAATAAAATTGCTTATTCTTAATGCATCTTACAAAATTTATGCATTTCGTCACATTTTTAAAGCTTATTTCCTCTCCTTTGTACTGTGAAGGCCCTCAAAAATATGAGAAAGCCATGAACACAGTCTTGGTGTTGGAGTAATGATACACCAGGTAGCTTTGAACACATTAAAGAAACTGAAAAAAAAAATTAGATATTAAAAGGGACTACCAGCACTATTCTCTATTGAAACTCAATCACTCTGAGTAATCTACGAGCACTGTCATTTTTCATAAATTGGCAGTGTTACTTTTGCATCTAAAGTATCTCAAAAAAAATCACAAGCGAGCCACTGTATTTATTTACTTGGAACTATACTTCATAGGAATGAAGCTGAGGTAAAACTTTTCACTTCTTTTTTTCCTTCTCAGTTCCACTACCAAGATTTATTTTTACTTTTTTTATTAGCTATGCAAACACTATACTACTTCATATATATTTTTAAGACGAGAGACTG